CACACACACACACACACACACACACACACACACACACACACACACACACACACACACAAACCTCCATGTTTCCGTCTGCTGAAAAAGACACAGGCAGGCTGGCCTGCAATAACCTAAAGGCAAACACTTTGCCCGGACCATCTGGAAGCCATCTCACCCGCAGAGCAAGTGAAAGCACAGAGCAGAAGCTACGTTTACAACTCAGTGACAACAACGGGTCCACTTAAACTGCATGGCTGAACAARTCATGCACCATCGTCTGTTCACAACATCTCATAAAACCTTTTACTGTATCCGTTTCGATTCTGTTCTCTTATTCGTCGGTCACTCACATGTGGTCCACTTGGCTGAGACAGAGAAACCTGTTCCTTACAAATAAAAATGTAAATAATTAAAACATTTTATTTGTCTCTTAATTCCGAACTAAACAAAGTTGTCTGGCTCATGAAGTGTTTTTCAAAACTTTTTCTCCTGCTGTTTTCTGTATGGAAAACATTCGGTGACTTTTTAGTGCAACATTGATGTGGGGCACGTTGTTCCCTCAATACAGTCTCTGCAAATCAGTCTCTGTGGGGAATGGATGATGCCATTGTGGGCAATTGTTTGCAGCTGTGTCATTGTGCATTTCTTTCCTTTCTTTCTCATCTTTTTTGCTCGTCTTCGTCTCTCCCTCGTCCTCTGGAGGGCTTTACTGGTCGGTTATGTTGCGTTCTACCAGGCAGTCTGGGTAGATGCAGTTTCTAAATCTTGGTTTGTGCCATTTCTTTTTTTTTTCTCACTCTCTAACAAAAGTTGAAATATAAGTGTGTGAATAAATCTGAAAACATGAGAAGTGAAAATGGAAGATAAGCAGACTGAAAATGTAAATCAGAGACAACACAGGATTAAACATTAGACAAGTGTCCCTAAAGGACACACTGAGCATGGAGTAGGTGCAGTAATGTGTCCCCCTCAAAGTGAGCAAACTAATGTGGCTGTGAGGTGAGGACGTCGTCATTCCTCGCCTGTTTTCTGCCAGAAAGCAGGTCTCATGACAATCACAGCAAAACATCTTGGCAGCTGGAGGCAGGAGGATAGGCACTGAGGAAACCTGCGAGGGAAAAGAGAACAGGGCAATGATCTGTGTGTGTGTGTCTGTGTCCTGTGATAATGGTGTGTGAGAGCAGGAAACACACTGCCTGTTTTTTTGCTGCAGGGGTTCCTGGAAGTCAGCTGCCCAGTGTGATCGACAACACACACATATATACAGGATACCTCGCCTCTGAAAGGGAAAAACATGCTGTGACTGATACATGCGGACACAGACAAGCAGACTTCCTGCTTTTTCCCACCTACTGGGCGGCCACCTGTAACACATTCATACACACTCACACACACACACACACACACACACAGGACAAGTATAAGTTGACAGTAAACAAGTGCCATTCTAATCCCTGTAATTATCTGTCATTTAATCAACATTGCTTGAGGCTGAGCCACCTACCGTCAACATCATCAACATCTCTGCTGACAAAAGCAGGAGGTTAAGAGGAAGAGCAACAATTAAACCGAAGCTCATAATCTTGCTTTTTGTGATCCACGTGGAAGATTAGTTGAAACATTTAAGTAAACATGAAGAATAAAAGAGTGATAAAAA